GATAGATTAGATGGATGATGGATATCCAACATGGGGAGATACAATGTCCCATTAACCTGAGGTAAGATGGGTGGCCAATAAATTTTACAAATAAATACATTAGAAATGTCCACCAATATTCTGCTCCCCAACTGATGAACTTACACATCTCCAATTCATACTTCATACATACCTTGAGGTCCCTCAATCCCATTTTGCGACCTTCTGACAATGGGGAAGCCAGATTCACTTAATGACTGGATTGCCAACTTATCAATTGTAGTGAAGTCCTTAGCAGCCGTGCCCCCCCAAAATGTCGTAAAATGGGGAAAAACTTGTTTAACAAATGTCTCAATGAACAGCATAAATTTTTGATTTCGATCGGGGTCGTAAGATGAGGGATACCTGCAGTTTAACGGAACACTCCATTCTTACCTGACAGCACCTGTACTGCTGAAGGAAGCAGCTGAGCGAGTGGAGATGTACGGGTAATGTTTGGTGTCCAGTTTATCCTCCAAAGCGTCCTTGAAAGAAAGATAAAAAAATAATTAGCACATCTGGAGCTTCTGCAAGTGATCGGCAGTGTGTATTAGGCATAAAGCAAAGACATTTGTGCTTTCAAGAACTATCCCTCTTTCAAAAGGTATAAGTTCCACCCTTTCCCATCCGTGCTAGTCGTTTCTGGCTCTGAGGGGTAGTGCTCATCTCCATTACAAAGCCAAAGAAGAGCCAGCGCTGTTCGAAGATGTCTCCGTGGTCGTGTGGCCGGCGGGACTAAATGCCTTCAAAGGTGCACCGAACGCTGTTCCCTTCCCACCAAAGGGGCCCCTATTTTTCTACTTGCATTTTTTACGTGCTTTCAAACTGCTAGGTTGGCAGAAGCTACTGGGACAAGGAATGGGAGTTCGCTCCTAGGCAGCACTAGGGATTTGAACCGCCGAACTGCCGACCTTTCTGATTGACAAGTTCAGCATCTTAGCCATGAGCCACAGCATCCCTGTATCCCTCTTTACATACCTCCATAATGTCTTTGACTACTGGAGTCCATCGGGAGAGTTGGTAAGTCTGTTCACTGATACGTTCCTTCCGTTCCGGCTTGCTTCTACGACGTAAGGTGGACTGGACACAAGAGAGAGAAAATGGAGTCAGAGGATAATGATTGGGTTAATTCACATTGCAAGAGTAAATTTGAGCCTTCTAGGCTTTAGGACTAAGGCTTCTGTGCAAGATTGTTTTTTGCTTTTCAAGACGTTTCACCCAAGAAGCTTCTTCAGCTCTGACAGGACAGTGGAGAATGGAAGGATTTATATTCCTTGCAGACAGCTGGTCATTTGCATCCTTTTACGGGGTTCTTGAAGCACTTGGATGTTTATCTGTGTCCTCGGGGTTACCTGAGTAGTGCAGATGGTTCCTGTAGTCTGCAATTTTTCCTCTGGAAATCCATCCCTACTCCTGCAACATTCCAAGGCTGTTCATCCCAAATTGTATAGCTAAAAGTCTCGGTCATCCAGGCCATAGTTGTCCCAAAGGTGCTTTTCCAGTTGCCTCCTGAAAAAGCACCTTTGGGACAACCGTGACCTGAATCATGGTTGAATCCTTCAACTGCTCCCAAGGCAACAGGCTGGAATAAGAGTCCTAGCAAGTCTTGTGCTTGACCTCTGTGGTCAAACGCAAGAGAAATCCTGGGAATCTTAGAAGAAAGTGCCAAGCAACAAAATGGCTATCCCAATCTTGAATCTGCTGCCCCAAGCAAGGTAGGCCTTGTTCTACCACCTGTTCTGCTTCCTCATCTTCATTCCACAGTTGGGACCAAGCTATCCATGAACAACATGGGTCGGCCCCTTCCAGCAAAACAGATCTGGTCTCCAGAGCATCTGAAAGAACCTAGCAGGACTTACATCCGTGATGATGGGTACCCCAAGATGTGCCATATTGGTGATGATCTCACTGTCCTCGGGAGGGATCTGAGCGTGCTGGATCAATTTATTCAGGTTTTCCTCGGTGATCCCTGTGGGAGGATGGAGAAAGACCATATGTGCATGTTCTAGGAGATGGAGTCAGCACACATGCACACCGACAAACGGCAGTTTCTGAGTTCTCAGGAAACAACAACGGAATGAAAAACTGCTGGTGACCTTCTACCGCTGCACCATAGAGAGTACTTTAGTTGGCCCTTGTTCCTCAGCTGTTCCCTTCATCTGACAACTCTGTGCATGTGGACACTGGGAATAGGCTCTAGCTATTCTTCTGCCCCACTGATATCCAACTCCGAAGGCAGCCGATAACTGTCAGGTGGCCCTGGCCCCATCTCTGCCTCTGATGCAGAGCCCTCGTCAGAGCCTTCCCCAGACTCCAGGAACTGGCCCAGATTCCTCCCCAACCTCCTCACTGTCAGAATCTGCTGCCAGCTCCGCTGGCTGCTGTCGGGTCACAACATCAAGTCTCCCCAAAGGCTCCCAGGCTAAATAAGAGTATCTCCTACCGTTCTTGAGAAAGATGTAGAGTAAGATGATCCGGATCTTGTCATAGGTGCTGACGTTGGCATCAAGCAGGATTGGGACAATTGCACGCATGGGATCTTTGATCTTCTCCCCTTCTGCATCAGTGCCCATGGCCAGATCCTGGCAAGACAGAACATCTCCCTGCAATTCACTATCTTAGGACCATTGGAAAGCTCTCTTCTGCCCAGTTGAGGTTGAGTTGAACTGGGAACTACAGAGTTCAGCTTCCAGGAAAGCTTTTTTATTTTTATGTTGAAAACAGTCCAGGGATGTAAGTGGGCCATTGAAACCAGTCGACTGGTCAAGGTAAGTCTGCTGGAATCCACTCCTTTGTTAAAGGAAGTTGAGAAACACCGTGGACAGCAAGAAAGCCAGCTGTTTCTTTAACTTCTTGAGAGGTGTCAACTCGTAAAACATTCCTATGTCTGTTTTTGAATTGCCATAAATGGGAGGGGGGGATCTGAAGGAGCAGTACCTCAGTTTAAAACCAGAAGTACATTCCATGCTTATCTTACAAAGATTGTAGCTAGGCTACTGGATCTTCTGCCTGGGAAAATCCTTCATTGGAGAACATGATTGATAACACCCGGCCCTTAAATGTGCTTCAATGGAGAATCTGATTTATGAAACACCCAGGGGGGAGGGGGAAATAGGGTCACAGTTGACTATAAATATGTAACCCTAATAAATCTTTTGGATTCTTTTGAAGCTTGGCTCGAGGCTCATGATTTAATTAGGGCAATTGCCGGAACCCTGACAAAAGGTCTATCAAATTCTGGGAAGATTTTCAAAGCGGGAGTTGGGCGGGGGAACTAGACAAGTTGACAAAATGCTTCTTCAAACATCCTTTGGTCAGCATAATTTGTAAGCTCTCCCTTTTTGAGGCACAGACAAACATGCAGCTCAATGCTTCTGGCATGAGCAGACTTACCTGCTCAACTCTGCAGAGTTTGTCCACGGTACCTTGGTAGTGCTTCATGCAGTCTTCAGCCAGGTGGAGATGAGTGGAATACTAGCCAACACAAGAAAGAAAGAAAGAGAATTCAACTATTCAGACATGCTCTTTTCTACCAATAGAGGAGAATACGTGTAGCTCAGGGTTGAAAGGAGGGTTCCTTGGTGCTCGCTGAGCTTGGTTGTTTTCTTGCAGATGTTTCATGACCCAGCTAGGTAAGGTGATCAGTGTTAGTCATCACTAGCACTGATGGTATTACCTATTTTTGGGTAATGAAACATCTGCAAGAAAACAACCAAGCTCAGCGAGCACCAAGGAGCCTTCATGCTCTTTTCTAGCACGCTCCCTTTCATTCCCCCATCCCCAGCGCTTCCCAAATACTGGGACACAACTCTGTTGAGTATATTTAATTGTCACTCGTTTCTTTGTCATTTTCGTCCATGTTCCAATAGCCAATGAGCACAGCCACAACTCCCACAACTCTTAATCAGGATTCTTCAGTATATAATTCAGTATCTCCTAGAAAGTCATAGGCGCTCTAATTTCGCAGGCTGCATTGTTTAAATTTAAGCTGGTAGCAAAGGAACATACCTTGCTGAGTTCTTTCTGATATTGGGGCATCTTTTTCAGCATCTGGGAAAGGTCCCTTAGGGTGGTCTGAAAGGTAGAAAGAGAGGTTGATCCTCAGCAAAGCTCTTGAATTCTAAATTGTGGAACTCACCAGTATCAAATGCTAAAACCTAACAGATTAACAGAGCTGGAAGGGACTTTGTAGGTCATCTAGTCCAACCCCCCCCCCAGCTAAGCAGGAGACCCTACACCATTTTTGACAGATGGCAATCCAGTCTCTTGTTGAACCCTTCCAGGAATGAAGCTCCCACAACTTCTGAAGGCAACTTCTGTTAGTTGGTTGCTCTCACTGTCAGAAAATGTCTCCTTATTTCCAGGTTGAATCTCTCCTTGTTCAATTTCCATCCATTATTCCTTGTCTGGCCTTCAGATGCCTTGGGAAATAGCGTGACCCCCCTCTTCTTCTCTGTGGCAGCCCCTCAAATATTGGAAGGCTGCTACCCTGTCTCCCCTGGTCCTTCTCTTCACTAGACTAGCCAGGCCCAGTTCCTGCAACCTTACTGAAAGAGAGATCGGATCCAAATTCTGCCTGTTGGAAGGAGCGTGCTGACAGTTCTCAGAATCCAGGAGAGGGAAGTAAGGTAACACCCCGGGTACTTGTTTAATTCCCTCCAGCTCACTTCCATAATTCCTTTAATTCCCACTTAACAACTGAACAGCTTAGCAATAGAAATTTTGGGTCAATTACAGCCATAAGCCGAGAACTACCTGTGTAGTACAATGCTCTTGTCAGTTACCCCAATTATATCATGAGTCTCCAGCCAAACTTCCAAAACTTCAAAAGGATTTATTGGGAGTTAACTGTCTGGCACTGCCTGGGTGTAGCCGACTCTGAGATACATCATTCATTGTCACCCTGGACCCTGATTTTCCCCCACCCCCTGGGTGTATCGTAATTCATGTTCTCCAATGGGACACGTCCGTAGCCCGGAGTCATCAATCAGGCTCTCCAGTTGGATATTTGCGTGACAGAAACTTCTGTCGCCTAGTTACTATCTAGGTGAAAAACTATGTATGGAATGCCCTTTTGGTTTGCAAGCTGCCCCGCTGCTCTTTCAAACCCCCTTCCTCCCTTCCTTTCTGTTGGCAACTCTACAAAGACCATAGAAATGTTTTATGAGTTGACAGCTTTCTCAAGAAAGTTGCAGATGAAATTACAGCCAATAAGCTCGGTTTCAGAATATTCCATTCCATTCTCTTTTCTTTTCATTTTTTCCCTTCAAAGATCTCCATTGCTGCTCCAAAAAGTATGTATTTTTAAGCTTTGCTTTCTGTTTTTTAGTCCAGATTTATTGGAAGCCTTCTAATTTCTGATCTTACCTTGTCACCAGTATTCATCCTTTTGCTAGAAGAAAAGTCCTTCAGGGATCGGGTGACTTCTCTGGAAAAGAATGACAAATACAAGCAAAATAAGTTGCATGCATGGTTCCAATCAAAGCAAGCCACTGGCTGAAATGATGTGACGTGCATGGGTCCTTTAATTAGCTAAATGAAGACATCTCTTTGATTTTGGATTGCTTGCATTGAAACAATGCTTGGAAGAGGGTTGCAGCTGTGGTAGAGATGAGCAACTGGTACAATGGGCACTGGTTTTATTATGAGCCAGCCATGTGCTGCAGCTGCCAAAAAAGCCAACACAGTCCTTGGGTGCATAAACAGAGGGATAGAATCAAGACTGCGTGAAGTGTTAGTACCGCCTTATAATGCCTTGGAAAGGCCACACTTGGAATACTGCATCCAGTTTTGATCACCACGGTGTAAAAAAGATGTTGAGACTCTCTAGAAAGAGTGTAAAGAAGAGCAACAAAGACGATTAGGGGGCTGGAGGCTAAACCATATCAAGAATGGTTGCTGGAACTGGGTATGTCTAGTCTGAAGAAAAGAAGGACTAGGGGGTGAGATGATAGCAGTCTTCCAATATTTGAGGGGCTGCCACAAAGAAGAGGGAGTCAAAGTATTCTCCTAATACCCCTAATTCTTCTTTTCTTTAGACTAGCCAGACCCCAAACCTGCAGCCGTTCTTCATATGTTTTACTCTGTCAGGCCTTTGATCAACTTGGCTGCCCTTCTCTGAACTTGTAAAAAAGTCTCAACATCTATTTTATAGTATGGTGGCCAAAATCGGTTGCGGTATTCCAGGTGTGGCCTTATTAGGGTTTTATAAAGTGGCAGTAATAATCTTAGCTGATTTCAAAAGACTTAAGACAGTTAATCCCAGTTCGCAACTGAATGAGAGCCTCCAGGAAATTCCAATCCTGGATGTCAAGACTGAGAAGCCAAAATAAATCTCAGAAGAAAGCAGTGGTAAAACTATCTCCACACTGCGATTAAGAAAAGGGCATTCATGTCTCCATGAAACTTGAAGCCCAGTCAAGGAGGCCTTTATTTCGACCTGCTTGTTCTCTCATCTCCAATGTTTCTGAGGAAAGGTCATCAGAAATAATGTGGAGCCTTCCCTGCGTGCAGAAGAAGAAGAAGAAGAAGAAGAAATGCTTACTGGGACACCTCGGCGATATGTTTGTGGCGCAAAGTAACCCAGAGGTCATCATCTTCATCCAGTAGGACTTCTTTGACCCGGGCCTCCCCGATTCCACTTGTGTCATACCTGAGAATTTCAAAAGAGAATGTTCTGACCTAGGCTTCCCCCAAAAGCACTAAGCAGACTCTTTGTCCTGGCAAAACCCCTTTTATTGAATGAAGGTGAATTTCTTGCATTCACATTCAGCCAAAGGCCTGGCAAACAGTCTTCCAAGGGTATAATTAGTAGCACAAACCTTGTCTAGCTTGGAGAGCTGCCAAGGAAATATTTTCAAACACGGTGCTGACAAAGAAGGACTCAGCACAGAGTCTCTGAGATGCACAGACAGATCTTCACACGGCTGCAACGAACAAATTGTTTCCTTCAAAAGCCCCCTCCCCTTTTGCTCCTCCTCTTTTAATCCTATTCACTGCCCACCTGTGGCCTTATTCCCACATTGACCCTTATTTCGTAATTGTTCTTTTGGCAGCTCTGCGCCTGTGCGGGCTGGAACCGGCTCCAGTTGCTCCTCCACCTCACTGCTGTCTGACTCTGAAGGCAGCTGATGACTGCCCGCCTGCCCTGGGCCCGTCTCTGCCTCTGACACAGAGCTTATGTCCGAGCCTTCCCATGTTCCTCCCCAACCTCCTCACTATCCGACTGGGCTGCCAGCTCTGCTAGCCACCGGCGGGCCACAACAAAGAACACGAATAAACAAATCGGTGACTTCATACAATAAATCTACATATTTCTGGGTTTTGGAGGGACCACGATGGACATGCAGTTTTCAGTCATGGAGACTTTATATACGGTTTCTCTTATACCTCACAGACGGTACAGAAAATAAACAGGAGAACCTTACTTGTAGACATCATTTTCAATGGGTAGCAAATCGTAGCTCATGGCTTGGAATGTAAGCTCATGCAACACTGGAGAGCTGGGGTCAAAGCCACGGTCTAGAATGATGAGCTGGGAACGAGCTTTGTCTGGACCCTGGATAGAAGGAAGCAAACCAAGAGGCCGTCAGCACTATCCAACCTGCTTTCCACCAAGTGGAAGATGATTTTTCCGAAAGCAAACTCCGATGACAAAATGTTGATGTTCTTCTGAGAGACATACTTTCAATCAGAATAAAACTGGAAGGGACTTTGGAGATCTTCTAGTACAACCCCCTGCTCAAGCAGGAGACCCTATACAATTTCATACAGGTCCAGTCTCTCCTTAAAAACTTCCAGTGATGAAGCAGCCACAACTTCTGAAGTTAAGCCATTCCACTGGTTAATTGTCCTTACTATTAGGAAGTTTCTCTTGAATGCCAGGTTGCTTCTCTCCTTGATTAGTTTCTATCCATTGTTTCTTGTCCTGCCTTTGGTGCTTTGGAGAATAGCTTGACTCCCTCCTCTTTTGGGCAGCCCCTCAAATACTGGAATACTGCAATCGTGTTACCTTGATCCTTTTTTCCCCTCTAGACTGGCCAAACCTGGTTCCTGCATCATTTTGCTCTCCTGGTTTTTAACCATCTTAATTCCTCTTCTTAGCACTTTTTCCAAAGTCTCAACATCTGTTTTTGTAATGTGGTGACCAAAACTGGATGCGGTATTCCAGGTGTGGCCTTACTAAGGCTTTATAAAGCACTATAGTCTAAAAGTAATACAAAAGAATGCTAACCAATATTCCCCAATTCTGCTAAGTCACACAATACAAAGTGAATTTGGGCCCCTTACAGAATTATCTGCAAGGCGTGGAAAAAATCTGTGGGATAGGAAGTCAAAGGGTCTAAGGATAGGAAGGTATTGGTTGGAGCTACATCTAACAAGAGTTCGTACAACTTGTCTGGGGTGGAAATTGGGATTGTGTTGAGAGGAATAAAACGGCTGAGTAGCTTTGGGCTTCTTGTGGAGAGGAAGAGGCAGAAGAGAGATCCTCCCCAAAAACTTTGTAATATTTATTGAGTAGTTATGTAACATGTGCTTCGAAATTCCTGACTATAAGCGAACAATGATAAACATATATATAACAGCAATATATAAAATATCAATAAGCAACGATAAACTCTTCATCTCACCAAGTGGTTTCTGCTTCCTTTTGCCCACTGTATCCAGTTTGGGGAATTGACCCATCTAGCTCCGCTCAAATCCGCAGTCCAGATACATCAATTCAGTCTCTTTAACTACAAGGATTCACTCACCTCTCCCATGGTTGGGTCATCTGCTTTGTATGCATCCAATTTGTCCTGGATCAGCTGAGCCAGCATAGCATTGTCCTTGTAATCCCTGCCAAAAGAGGACAATTGCTCTTTCAAAAGCCAGGGCTGGTTTCATTTCACGGGCCCCATTGAGGATGTGCTGGGCTCAAAGTTGTCTTCTGTTTTCACTGTCATGCAACAAAGAGTAACTTCCCTTCCGTTCTCTCGTGGGCTAACTTTAATAATTTTTTAGAACAGCTTTGAGGGACTCTTTCCTGATGACTTGACCTGAGGGCCAAGTTGGGGAAAGAAGACTAGGCTCTAATCTAGTTTGGACCAAAAAGTTGACCAGGAATTTTGAAGATCAATCAAATGGCTCCCTCACCTGAACCCCTCCTAAATGAAACCACTGAACGCATAAATCTCCTACCTTTGTTAGAATGTCAGCATTCCAAGTAATGCACCCGTAGAAAGCAGGACTCTGAGGCAGGTAGATTCCTCAAAGAACAATTTTATTGGGTACATCGCATTGGCACGACTGGTGAAAACCAACTCTGAAAAGTTCCCACGGTTTTCACCCAGTTAAAAATGAAAGTTTCCCCTCTCCCCCCAAGTCATCTGTCATCTGTCACATTGTCCAATAGAGGTGCTGGCCGGTTGCTTGGTTACTCTACTCCTTCTCTTTCCAGCCACCTGTTGAAATGTCCTTGGTTCCCACAGGAAGACTTTCTGTTTTGGCTACAAAACCCCAGCTATCTATTTTCCTTCCCCTTCCCATCCAGTGGCAACCTTGAAGCCGTATAGATGGCCTCGGCCAGGTTCACTTCAGGGTTGACCTAGAGTTTAATACAGAAAACTTCACAATCCAGGCATCTTTCGTTCTAAAGCTAAGCACCCAATTCCAGTGACTCTCAAGATTTTAATTTAAAATCAAAGCGGTAGAGGCCATATAGTTTGGAAGCCTCCAGGATCTGGAAGGTATCTTCACCCATTTCCTGTTCATCAAGAAACAGACATCTGTCAAGAGCTGGATGAAGCTTCTGGTTTCATGCAGGTCACCTCAGGAGGCCAGTTGTAGAAGCTCAGTAACGGGAAACCCTTGCGATCACTTGAGTTCTCTTGTCAACCCTTTTCGAGGAGATGTCAAAAGATTTGTACGATTGTCTCCTGAGAATTCAAAAAAGGGACTATGATTCAATTTGAAAAGAGTTGATAGGAGATTGATTCCAAGGACTTCCCATTCCTGAACTTCTGCAACTGGACTCCAGAGGTGACCTGCTTAAAAGCTAGAAGCTTCTGTCCATCTAGCTCTTGACAGATGTCTATTTCTTTTCTTTTCTTTGCATAAAGTTTTTTTTCTTTTATATCACATAAAGTTCCAATTCTGGTTAAACGGTGTGTTGTCTGGGTACAAATACTTTTAGGAAATAATCATCAAAGTGTTTATAACAATGTTCATTACATTGACATTCATTCTATCTTAATGATCATCATACTAATACTAATACTTGCTTATGCATTTTCATCGATCCTTTTCTTATATTTCTATGATTCTAACTGTTTTCTAACTATGATTCTAACTGTTTATCAACTAACCGTTGATAAAATAAGTCCCATGTCAAAAAGTATTCAGTTTTTTTCCTTTTTCCTTAATTGTGAGTGTTAATCTATCCATTTCTGCACATTCTAATTTTTTTAAATTACATTTTCATCTGCAGGGATCTCTTCACTTTTCCATTGTTGTGCAAATACAATTTTGGCTGCAAGTCAATACATGTAAAATCAAATATGCATTCCCCTTGTTATACTTATCCAGTACAGATGCCTATTTCTTGATGAATGGGAAAGGGATGAAGAGGCTTTCTAAGTATGGGGCATCTACTGCATTGGTTTTAAAATTAAAAAATTTGAGAGGTTCACAGTGAAGGGAGTCCTCCAGAAACTCCATGTACTCACCCCCTGTATCGCACAGCCGGGTATTCCTTCAGCGTGGCACAAAGGGTTGCGATCTGTTCGGCCAAGCGTTCCAGAATTGGATTCTTCATTTGAGCCTTATGAGGGCTGTAAAAGCTCTGGAAGGAGTCCCCTGAATCCAGGGAGTAAACCTTTAGTAGGCATCACAAGGGTGTGGGGGAAAAAAGAAAGAAAAGGAGCTGAAACGCTCAAGTGGAAGTGCCTCAAACGCAATACTTTCCCGCGTTTGGCTTAACCACCTAGGAAAGATGAAGGAAACCAGCTATCTAAAATGCAGGAGGAAGTCCGTCTGATGTCTAATTCCAATCGTCACCTTAAGGTGCTACGTGCATGTCGGAATATATCATACACATCCTGGTTTATAGCGCAGAGTAATTGTCCCTACGTGTACATTTTGTGTTGTGCAAATTTAAAAAACCCGGTAAAAATAGAAGGAAAGAAAATTGCACGATGAATGGCTGAGCAACCAAGTTTATGCCTTGCTTATCGAAGAGAAGGATCAGAGGGGACAGGATTGCTGTCTTCCAGTACTTGAGCGTCTCTGACAAACAAGAGGGGATTGACCTATTCTGCAAAGCAACCGAAGGCAGGACAAGAAATAAGGGTGGAAGCTTGTTAAAGAGAGATCCAACCTAGAACTAAAAAGAAATTTCCTGACAGTGAGAACGATTAATCAGTGGAATGGATTAATGGAACACTGATTGATTGAGCACCCCGTTCTGACCCAGCTGCCCAAACATGACAAACCCTCTGAAGTTAACTCAAAGATTCCTTTATTACAAGTGCCAGCAGCACTGGCAAAAAGTTTCTCTCGCAACACAGGCTAACAAGTCCGTCTGTCCAGAAGATGAGCAGTTGTCTGCCACAGCTATTCATCTCCAGGCCCCCTGCCTTTTATCCCAAGAGCTAGAGTGGGGCTTCTCTACCAGTGGTGGCTCTTCCGTCCCAAGGACCGGCCCATGGATTTCCACTGCTCTCCTCCCGTCTGCCTTCAGCACATCCGCACATCAGGCACTGGACCCAGCTGCTCTTCCTCCTCTTCCTCATCAGCCACCTCCAGTCCTGGGGGCTGTTGACTCTCCGTCTAAGGGTTGACGGATGGCCCAGGTCCTGCCTCTGTCTCTCTGCCAGCTCCATTCCCTCTTCCCCCTCAGAGCTCTCAGGTTGCCTTGATGCTGACCCTGACTCCCACGCCTCCTCCTCCTCCTCTGATTCGGCTGCTGGAGGGGCCAGTGGCTGACAGACCACAACACACCCACAACTGAGCACCCAGAGTTGTGGGTGTTCCATTCCTGGAGATTTTCAAAAGTAGACTGCACAATCATTTAACAAAGATCTCTGAGGTCCCTTCCAGCCTTGGGATCCTACCCCAGGTCTGAATATATGTGAAAATGTCCAATATGGTTTTTAAAAATATATCTCCCTCATTTAATCCCCATAGCAACGCGCTGTATTTCAAGCACTGTGCTTTTAGAGAGGAAAAAAGTCAATCTGCCATATATTTACAATGCCGCTTAACCATCTGCCATCTGTTTTTTTCTCTTTTGCTCTTCACTTCCCCCACTTTTGCCCTTACAAGAGAGGAGATGGAAAAGGAGGCACGCTTTGCACAACTGAACAACAGCTTGGAAGAGATCAAGCAACAACCAACAGTCAAAGAAAAAACAAGTGTGTGGAAGCAAATATGGGGTGAACAGAGGGTGAGTGTGTGTGTGTGTGCATGTATAGAAGGACGCAACACTCATCACAAAAGCTCAGCAGTCAAAGCCAATGAGCATCAGAGGACAGTATAGAAAAGAAGGACAGACAATCTTGGTGCCTTGGAGGGAACCATTGCATAAATCCTGCTTTTTTCCGTGGCAAACACAAACTCCTCAAGAAAAACCAGCATCCAAAAGATTATCCGAATCCAGACTGTTTATTTTTCCTCTCCATAAAATAATTTAGCTCCGTTCTGCTGCATTTGGAGATGTCTGCTGATCCTTTCCATTAATTACCCAGTGATCGGAGAACCTTAAAAAGGGAGCATGAGATGATATAACTGTGAATTATACTAAAGCGGCTTGAGTGATCCTATGGTGATCCTTTTGCAAATTAATGCAAAATTTATCTGGCTAACCGGTGCAGGGAATATTTGCTGGTGCACAGGTAGTAGGACTGCTCTTCTCCCAGTATTTGGGATGATGGCTTTTGCAGTAAAAATGAAACCCCAAGTAGAATAACAGAGCTGGAAGGGACCTTGGAAGTCTTCTAGTCCAGGCCCCTGCTCAAGCAGGAGACCCTATACTATTCCAGACAAATAGGTCTCCAATCTCTTCTTTAAAACCTCCAGGGATGGAGCACCCACAACATCTGAAGGCACCTGAAGAACACCACGTCATTTTGTCCAAAACTTTGGAGCATCTTACAAAGAAAGCTTCCACCGAGACCAAAGAAACAAAACAAACTGATAAATATGTAGTTACGTCCAAATAATCTATCTTCACTTCTAGCTCAGTCAACGGTTTACCTGGGACTCATAGGGCAGGAAAGCTATGTTGATCTCTGTCAGAGTCTTGATGACTTTTGCTGCCCGGGATTTGACCAGTTCATTGAATAAGGAATCTGGACAAGCTGAGGACAGAAAGAGACAGAGACCACAAAGCTTAGGCAACACAAACAAACCCATTAATTTGCCCTAAAGTGGATAACTGCAGATTATCCCACCCATTGCAAAGATAGCAAGAAGAATGGTTCTAGTAGAGATTAGGATCCAAGGATTTGGCGACTGTCTTTGAAAGTCAGCTAGATCAATCCACAGTTCAAGTTCAGGAACTTCCAATGCAAGACACCAGGCTGCTCAACGGCTGCTTTCACACAATCTGGGATTTTGCACAAGGTACTGGCTTGGATTAGTCTTACTTTGGAATTCATTTACTGACTTAGCGTGTTATGCAAATCCACAAGTGACTTGTGTGAACCTAGAAACAGAGCTATTTAGGTGAATGTGGCCAGGATCTCATTAAAGCAGCTGCTTCTATTGCAGATGGAACTAGAGTTTGATGTGTGGCCCCAAACTGGATCCTGAAAATGGAGCGGAGCTTCAAAAATATTACAACCCAGAGCGGGAACCCCAGTTTATTCCATACTTACAGTCCGTGAAGAAGACATGCGCAGCTCGATATTTGGCATTTGGGGGTTCCTTGAAGTCAGCAATGAGAGACTCCACTGACTGAGAAAGAAGATTAAATGGATTTAGTTCACTTCTTATCAAGAATATTGGCCTGAATTAATTTTCAATTATTACAAAGGTAAAAATAGGACCTGGAGCAAAAAGTTTTGACAGTACTCCCAGGAATACTATGGAAATAACTGTTAATATTAAGGACTGTTATAATATAACTTCACTTGTTCCCATTGGTTTAGTGTCTTTGTTTGGATAGCATAATGTCCTACCAAAAGAAAAACACCTGAAGATATATAAACATGCAATGAATGATTGCAGGAACTGGGTACATCTAGTCTAATGAAGGACTGGGGTGACCTTTGAGGGGCTGTTACAAAGAAGAACGGGACAGCCTATTTTTCAAAGCACTAGGGACAGGACAAGAAGAAACAGATGGAAACTTATCAATAGGAGAAGCAACCTAGAATTAAGAAGAAATCTCCCAACAGTGAGCACAATTAATCAGTGGAACAGCTTATCTCCAGAGGTTGTGGGTGTTCTAACACTGGAGATTTTCAAGAAGAGTTTAGATAACCATTTGTCCAGGATAGTCTAGGGTCTCCTGCTTGAGCAGAGGGTAGGACTAGAAGACCTTCAAGGTACCTTCCAAGTCTGTTATTCTGTTAAGATGCTGTGCCCAACCTGGACAGCTATTCTATTTAACACAACACCCACCTTGTCGGATGGAGTGATGAGATACACAGCCTCCAGGCTAGGCAACGGCTCTCGGCGCTTATTAATATCTTCTACAACTGGATTCAGCCACACCCAACAAGGAGAAGCAGAGAAAGAAACAGAGCAGAAGGAAATCAGAACAAAGGTTGGGCGTTTCAATACCCTTAACTTTGATTCAAACTGGAGATCAATTCTGTTTGAAAGTTATCTGCCAATCGCCAACTCGCTTTCCTTTCTTAGCTTCCTGGAGGCAGAAGGAGCTCTACCCTTGAGGATTTCAGAAGAGGCAAAGTGGAGACAAGACACCTGAACAGCGGTTGTGTCAACTTTGGAAGCCATATTAGCACCAGAAGCTGCCATGCTGCTACATTCCTGTGCCTGGGAAATTGGGAGGGGGGATTTTGTAGAGTGGTTGTAGTTAGACATCATAGCATTCTTCTTTACAGTCAAGGTCATGGTATTCCTGCACCTGGAAGAGGAGTGATTGAAGGGAGGTCTCGAGTTGGAAGGGAGGGTGATTGGGCCAGGTGATGGAGTGATGGGTGATGGATTTTGTGATCTTTAATTATTGGAGGAAGAACCAGAACTCTCAGATTCGGGTTTTCCCAGATGTGCCAGTATGACAACTCTAATAAAATGGAACTTTGAGGAAATGCCCGTCTTGGAGTTTTGGTGTTGGTGTTTGTTTTCCTGGAACGCTGACAGGTTCACGCTAAAGAATGTTGCAGGTTGTGCAAAAGAAGGCACAGGTTTTAGTTCTGAATGAGTGAGTGTGAGTACAATCCCAAAGTTTTACTTACTTGTTATCCCTTCCGTCATAATATCTGTCATTTTGCAGCAGGAGGACAGCATACGCATACTCAGCTGATCCACCACCAGCACCTGGAAAAGACACAGAGAAGGGAGGTGTCACTCCCAAGGGTATGAATTGGCTTTAGGCATTAAACCAGGGGTCTTCAAACTTGACAGCTTTAAAACTTGTGGACTTCGCCTCCCAGGATTCCTCCTCCAGTCATGTTAGCTCAAGAATTCTGGGAGTTGAAGTCCACAAGTCTTAAACTTGCCAAGTTTGAAGACCCTTGCATTAAACCTGCCTGAGAGAAGGCCCTCTGCCCCACTGAAATGGCTCAATCTAATCTACCACAAGAGCCATGGTGGCACGGTGGCTAGAATGCAGGATTGCAGGCTAATTCTGCCGACTGCCAGCAATTCAATCCTGACTGGCTCAAGGCTGACTCAGCCTTCCCTCCTTCCGAGGTGGATAAAACGAGGACCCAGATTGCTGGGGGGGGGGGGGGGGGGGGGGGGGGGCAGAGGCTGACTCTGTAAACCACTTAGAGGGCTGTAAAGCACTGTGAAGCAGTTTATAAGTCTAAGTGCCATCTATCTTCTATGGATGTAGGTTTAAATGGGTGGGGAGTTAGATATACTCAGTAACCCATATAAATAAGTAAAATTCAGACCTAGAGACCACATTCACACATTGTGTTAAGCTGAGCAAAGGTTACATCGACTATATCTTCTGTGTATGTAATTGAACATTGTGTAAACTCAGAAAAGAGACTAAATCAGAAACCAGGTCAAATGGCAGTGGGATACAGGCATCAAACAGTCTAGGTATGAAAAAGCCATTGATTTGTTTTGAACTCACCTTCCATTCTCCCTTCTTTTTTACTTTCTTTATGACATCAGCCATAATCTCTGCCAAAAAAAAATCAAAAGAGGGGAATTAGGAAGAGAATTAATCCATGATGAGTTGGCATCAGCCCTATTGTAGAAGCAAGTTAAATATAGCATTGGCCATGGCTAAAATAAGCTTCTTGCATTAATGGCTATTCCCATTACTTGGACCGCAATGACTTCATCACAATTCACAACCCTTGTTGCTGTCTGTGTAGCTCTGATCATAAAACTGGACATCGTTTACATTTGGTTTCTAAATTCATTGCACTGTTGAAAGTTTAATTTCTCTTTTAGTTGATATGGGAAAACTTTGCACACAGAGCTTTTCAAACAAAAGGAGGAAGAAGATACAACAGGCATTTCCTGTGACCACACATCGCAAACTTTCCGTTTGTTTCTTCACAATTTGGAAAAATGAATACTATAGATTCCAGAGAACAAGGCCTACCACACACGCCACTCTGCCCCAGATTGCCAATTTATTATTCCTTGGTTAAAAATAATATTTGCTCTGCCTCAGATTATGGCATATGTAAGGGAAAGGCTTCTTCACTGTACATTTCAAAAGTAAGTTTCTACATTTAGGCAAGAAAAATCAAATGCACAGGTACAGTATATGTGGCATCTTGCTCAATAGTAGTAACTGTAAGAGGGATCTCGGAGTCCTAGTGGACAACCATTTCAATATGAGCCAGCAGTGTGCAGCAGCTGCCAAAAAAGCCAATACAGTTCTAGGCTGCATTAACAGAGGGATAGAATCAAGATCGCGTGAAGCGTTGGTACCACTTTATAATGCCTTGGTAAGGCCACACTTTGAATACAGTTTTGGTCACCATCGTGTGAAAAAGATGTTGAGACTCTGGAAAGAGTGCAGAGAAGAGCAACAAAGATGACTAAGAGACTGGAGGCTGAATGCATTCTTTTTAGGTACCCTGAGAGCTTATGCACCAAAGACAATTCCTTGTGTATAAATTCATTCGGGCAAACTCTGCTGTGACAAACGAGTGAATTGAAAAAGAAAACGTGTTCCAGAATCTGTTAGAAACAATCTTTAGCTAATGTCTGAAAAAGGAAGCTGTGTGTCAGCGCTCGAACAGTTACCCCCATTTAAACTCATAAAATATTTCTAAGGTCTTTTTAGAGTTGCCACTGTGTTTACGTCGATGCATCTTATGAAGTCTTTTTAAGCCATTTCCCATCTTCCATTCATGGATAACCCTCTGAGAAAAAGAGGTAGTGAAAACTGGCAGGCACTGAAACTGGTCAAATGCTTTCTCACAACGATACTAGATTGGATCATCTTTTGATCTAATGCTAGGTTTGCCTTTTGGATTTTTTTAAAAAAATCTCAACTTGACTTGAATCCAAGTCAAAAGTTGATACACCCAAACGAAAAAAAATGTCAGTGAGCAGTTCAAAAAAGAGGGGAAAATGGTGTAACAGCTTTGAGCACGGACAAACCTAATGAGATTACTTCATCTATTATGTAGGATTTGAGAAATAAGCTTCCAGAAAGAGAGAAAGGGAGTATTCAGCAAACTGCTTTGTAAATTCTGCACTAGCGTCAAGTCTAAGTGTGGAACCAACCCATCATTTAAGGTTGTTCATATTTCAAGGCCCACAATTATTAGACATCAATGCAAAATTTTACTGATAGGATAGCTGCAGCTCAGGGTTGAACTGTGAGGTCCTTAGTGCTCTCTGAGCTTGTTGGTTTTCCTGCAGTTGTTTCCTTACTGAACTGGGAACATCAACAGTGCTGAAAGGGGACTGGGGACTGTGGAGAGGAGGAGGAGAAGGAAGAATGTGGGGTCCTTGGTGCTCTGAGCTTGTTGGTTTTCTTTAGATGTTTTCTTACTGAACTAGGGAACATCATCAGTGCTAGAAGGGAATGGGGTTTGCAAAGAGGGAGAGGAGGAAGAGGAGGAATATGGGGTGCTTGGTGCTCTCTGAACTTGTTTATTTTCTTGCAGACATTTCAAGACCCAACTAGGTAGCATCATCGGTCGTAGAAGGGAGTGGGGTTTGCTGAGAGGAGTGGTGGTGGACTGTGGGGTCCTTGGTGCTCTCTGATCTTGTTTTCTAGGTAATAACATCAGTGCCAGTCCTCGGTGCCTAGCTAATCATCAGGACTAGCGTTGATGTTAGTTGGTTGGATAATCAAATGTTTGCAAGGAAGCAACCAGCTCAGAAAGCACCAAGGACACCACAGAATTTTATTGCTCCCCTCACTTACAGAAGACTCTTTTCAATAAAGTGGCGATCAATGCAAACTCCCAAACAATTCCTCATTGTTGTTTTTTATTATTATTTCTACCTCCTCCATACATAACTCCTGCAGCAGAATGTGAGAGGGAGATCTGACTGAGTGACTGGCGATCTGGTGTTCACAAGGCTGCTTGGATTTTCAAAAACATCCAAGAATGACGGAGACGCTGAATTGTGATGCGGTAGGAGGAAAGCGGCTACGAATCCACAAGGATGTTTCCTCTTCCAGCCACCACCAATCCATCAGGTTCCACCTCCAATCTCTGCCAAGTCTCACCACCGCATCCCAGTTTGAGCCCAGCCTTCTCTGACTGCAGCAAGAAGCACAGGTCACAACATGGAATAGTTTTTGTTGGGGATCTTAGCTGAAACTTATAGTAAAGGGAAGGCATATTTAATTATCCATCTATTAAATGCAGCTAGAATTGTATTTAAGAGATTCCTAATTGTGAAGAGATTCCTAATGATGAGAATGTGATCAGGAAAATATTAGAATGTGCAGGAATGAATTATTGTATCGATGGTTGGAGGAGAGAAACTATATTTCACATTAGTGAAATATAGAACGTATGTTCAGATAGAGATGTAAACAATATGATGACTGTCATTATGATTATTAGGCTTATTTCTGTTTAATATTATCACTATATTCTTATTAGAAGATATGTTAAGAGGGAGAAAGGAATAGGTTTATTATATAGCTGTATGACTGTAACCTTGTTGCTTGTATCCTAACAATTTTATTGACTGTTTCCTAATATGTTTTGATTGCTTATTGTACCCTATGACTACCATTAAGTGTTGTACCTTATGATTCTTGACTCTTGACAGGTGTATCTTTTCTTTAATATACACTGAAAGCATTTGCACCAAGACAAATTCCTTGTGTGTCCAATCACACTTGGCCAATAAAGAATTCTATTCTATTCTATTCTATTCTATTCTATTCTATTCTATTCTAT